GATGGCCACGATCGTGCTGGGTGGGGGGTTCATGCATGGAGTGGGGAGATGGCCACGATCACAGTTGCTTTTGTGCAGGGAAGGTGTGCGTGATCAGAGGCATGCTGCCCCAGGATAGACGGGTGCAGCACAGCACAACTGCAGGGGAGATGGCCAAGATTGCGCCCGTCTTTTCTGCAGGAGCACGCCTGTGATCATGCACGCCTTCCCTGCACGAAAGCAACTGCGATCGTGGCCATCTCTCCACTCAGGGTGGGGGGGAGAGAAGGCTGAGATCTTGGTCGCCACCCAATGCAGAGTTTGCGACCCACATCAAAATTTTAATGAATTTTTTGTTTGTGACCCGATTTGTTCATGAACCAAGGTGTTTGTAAGCCGAGGTACCACTGTACATAAAAATCAGGTGTTAAGTGAAACACAGATTTAAATAAAATTAGCAATAAGTTTGGCCAATTTCAACATGAGCACCACACCTATCTAAATTTGTACTAGTTGAAAGTCCCTGAATTAAAACTTATATCTTAAGTGAGTAACTGGAAACAGGTCCATGTTGTTCAGTGGTGAAGAAGTATAATATATGAGAAGCTTTACCATTTGATGCTGCTGATTGTAGAAATAGGCTTCAATTTAAGTTTACAGCAGGGGTGGGCAACTTGTGGCCCTCAAGATATTAAGACTGTGCTAACTACAGCTGATGGTTGTTGCAGCCCAAGAATATCTGGATGGCCACAAGTTACCTACTTACCTGTCGGAAAAAGTCATTTTCCAAATACCAAGTTATAAACAATTCTGCAGAGCAACATGCTGCCATATTAAGAACTAGCGCATCCTGCACTGCATAAAGCCAGACTTTATTCAACTTGCTTCTACTTTCATATAAAATACATAAACAGTTGTTGTTGCTGCTGCTGTTTTTAGTCGCAAAGTCGTGTCCTACCCATCACGACCCCATGGACAACATTCCTCCAGGCCTTCCTGTCCTCCACCATCCTCCGGAGTCCAACTAAGCTCACGCCAACTTCTTCAGTGACTCCCTCTAGCCACCTCATTCTCTGCCATCCCCTTCTTCTTTTCCCGTCAATTGTTCAGTAGTACACAATAATTAAAATATAAAGTAATTCCAGTTTACAAGACTATCTCAATTCATGCAGAATATAATCCACTCAGAAATTCTCCTGCAAATGCCCCAGTGAAGTGCAAGGGAAACAAAACAAGAGCCCACATTCATTTCAATGCTCAGGAGATGTACTGAGTGGATAATATTCTTATATTTCAACAGTTGGTATACTTCACTATGACCAAAGTCTTTGCTGTAATGCAGAGGTGGGAATGTTGTGAGACTACAATTCCCATAATCCCTTATCATTGACTATGGCAGCTGAACCTGATGGGAGCTGAGGCCCAAAAGTATATCAAGGGTCACAGGTTCCTCATCCCTGATATATTGCATTGGGAGGGGGATTACAAATTTTCAGTGCATTTATATACATGTTTACTAAGAAATAAGTCCTGCTGAATTCATTGACTTATTTCCCAAATCACTTTGCCAAATGGTCCTATTCATATTTACTAAGAAAGCTCTGTGAATTTGAAGCAGCTTGCTCCCAAATAAGTGTGCCTAGGGTTTCAGCTTCAGTCCTTAAGTGCTTGATAGCATGAGAAAATCTCTATGAAACATGGCTTTAATAAATAAGCATTAAGATGTTTTAGTATTTATGACTTACAAATGCATTCAGACTTGTAGGAATGAACTAGTAACACTTCATGGTAGTGTAAAAATACATTGCTTGGACTCTCCAGGTCCTCCCAGTGGTTGGAATACTTGAATAACTCATCTGGTAAAACAACTTTTACCAGATGAGTTATTCAAGAACTGGGCTATCCAAAGATTGAAGTTTGGAGAATGTCTGCATTCTGCAACAGCCAAACATTCAACCACGAAATTCATACAAAATGCCCAGTTTGTGAAGACAGAAAACATGAGGGTTGCAACATTTCAATACAATATAAATTATGTTTAATTATCATGAATTGGTGATCTCAGGAAATGGCCCTCCTAATCCATGGCCAGACTTTTTCATTTGAGCACATTTTTCTTTTTTTGCAACCATTTGCACCTCCCCAAACACAAATAAGTATAAATTACTTTAGTTCATAAAGTTGGTCACAAATTCATGAGTATCACTTGACCTTGACATGAATAAGCTATGTTTTAAGTACCTTAGAACACTGTAGCCTCACGCCACATGTTCTTCATATTCAACCCCAAGTAATCAAATGTAATCATGTCAAAAAGGTCAAATGATGATCATGTGTGTACATGGTCTCAAAATAACTTCCAATCTTTTATGGTTTTCAAATACATAAAGCCAAAAATCTGAACCCATCTGTATCACATGACAACTGTCAAATACAAAGGGGTAGGAGAGAAGGAACTTGATTCCAGTTTCCCCACCAAAAACAAGGCCAAGATTGTGAAGGGATAATAGTTTCCCTCAAATTTTGAACAGAGCTTTGCTAAATATATATTCTTGGTATAGCTTTATACAGCAACTCCCCAGCCCAACAGAGATTGCTAAATAGATCTACTATGTTTTCACCTTATTGAATCACTCACATTCACTAAATTTCTGGGTTGTTCACCATTATATCCCAATTACAAGCTCTGAGGTAACATAAGAAATTTGTTTATTTTTGTTTCTTTGTTTTCTGTACTGTCAATAGCCAAGGCTCTAGTTCAGGATTCTGTTCACACAGTGGCCAACCAGTTGTGGGAAACTCACAAATACGATATGAGTACAATAGCACTGTCATGTTCTTCAGCAACCGGTGCATAAAGGCATACTGAAGAAAAAAACAATTCTGATACTGCAGAAGAAAAAGCTTTAACCCATTGTTTGCTGTTGTTGTAAGACTTTGGGCTATTTCTCCTTCAAGAACTGAGAGTTCCAGGTTCAGATATCACAGTGAACAACCTAGGAATGAGGCATTCCCAGGTAGTTTAACAAACGAGAAGTAGATGAGCAGTAAAGATAAAGCATGCTCATTTACTCTCAAAAGCTCACAGACAACCCATCATTAAAGTGTTGATTGTTTAATCATGAGAACCATGTCAATATAACTACCAGCCTAATTCTGGATTATTCACCTAGTACTCAGTCAACTTGGTGCACTCTTTAAGTGGCCCAATAAAATCACCTCTTTCCATTAGGAATTCCTGGTAGTTCACTACTGCATAGACATATCTATAACCAGTGAGTAGCAACTACTTTCAATACAACCTCAGAGCTTTATATCAAGATTATCTGGGAACACAGGTGAGTCATTTGCATCAGCTACCTCTCAGTGAATCGTATTTTAGAATAAGAGGATATTGGACATATACATACCTACACACAATTAGAGAGACATTTGTTGTCATGCATGGATATTGACATTCTAGACTGTAGGACTTGTGAATAAAATCAAAACTACTATTATGTCTAAACTTTCTCAAGAATTTTATTTAAAAAAATCCCCAAATAATTTGATTAGTTTGAGGCACAATATGCTTCAATTGTGTTCATTCAGATGTAGTACCAAAATACTGAGCATGCAGTCAGGGAAGTTGGGGGAGGGTCACATGCCCCCCACACTTCCCCTGTGGGATGACACCCTGTATCCTATTCTGGTTTGACCTAACCCTTGAATTACACTGCAAACCAGGACCAGGACCCAGAGGCTGATTCTGATTTCCATTCAAGCTTTGCAAGGTAAGTCCAAATGATAAGTTGTAGGTTTGAACCAAATGGAAAACCATGGCTTGCCATAAAGCAGGGAAAAATGGAGAAAGTTATCACATATGAGAGGATGTGAAGCAAGGCTCTTTGATTGCATATTCAAGTAATGCAAAACCAAGCATTAATTGGTTCAATGCTAGATCCAAAACAACACATTGTTGACCTAATATATTACGATTGTATATCATCTCCTCCACAAATACTTTTCTTTTAAAAGCAAAATTTGATTTTCAGCTTACAAGAAATATATATGTATGACAAGATTTACAAATGGGCAGGTATAGCATAATGGCTAACAGAAGGAGTTGTTAAGCTGAACCTCCCTTATTCAAATTTTATTTCATTCAAAGTTCACCAGATAAACCAATCTTTCCCTCAACTCTCTCTCTCAAGATACTAATACTTATCTTATCTTATCTATTATTTATTCATTCATTCAGGATATTTCTAGGCCATCCATCACTTTCGACTCTGGATGGCTTATGTTAAGGATAATTGAGATAACATATGCAATAGACTTCAAACCAGCTACAGAGTTGTATGTATTAGATGCACACTGGATGAGAGATATAAATAACATCAAAGATTCAAATGTCAAACAAATTTTAAGAAATCCAAATGTATAAATAAAATGTGAATTCCATTAAATATTCACTAGACTTTGAATGAACTTGTGGTGTAGATCATGTTACCGAACTGCAACCTATGAATATTTTACTGAAAATAGATATAGAGAGATTCATTCAAAAAAGACAGGGGAATCAACCAATGGATCAGTGGCGACAGATCTGAGGATAAATCCTGTTGATTGCAAGTACGATTAGTATACCTTCGAAAGGTAATGAAATTTGGGCAGAGCAATGTTTTCCCCTATCAATCTGTAATCAAAATGAACAATCCTTTGCCTCAATAAATTTTAGTTTTGGATTGAAGAAGGGGCTTGCTCCTCTTTTAGTGCAGAGAATAAACTGACTTGTACTTAATCCATTTTGTGCCCCAGTACATGTACACTGTGTGACATAAGGAAAGCACCCCAATGGCCTGTTTTTATGTAAGTTTTGTGATATTTTAAGTCCTAGGCATGTTCAGTTTATGGAAATAAATATGGAACACAACAGCCTGTGATATGAAAGTCACTCCAGGACATTGGATGAAGGCCTGCATTTAAAAAAAAAAAAGCTATGCAAATTTGTATCTATTAATGGGGGGGCACAACTATACCTCATTATATTCTGATTATTCTCACACTGAATACAGGCATTCCGTAGGCATCTGAAACATTCCGACAGCAGCAGTAAATATGCATCTAGATGTACTAATTTCCTGGTGTCCTTGCAGACCACGGCAATTTCATGTGAGATTTTCAGCAAAGTCTGCTGGAGATTTTGGAATAAGCTTTTGGTTGCTGCTTCCCTGAAACAAAAAATAAGTAAATATTAAGTGAAGTGAACAGTATCAACCACATATGGATAAAACATCTGCTTTAAATGAGGAGAGGGCTGTTCAACCAGCAATTCTTCCTGTTTACAAAAATGGTAACTTGTCTCACACGTCTTGAGACTGTGAAGAGGTAACAGCCTTGGTCAGTGCCTGGATTGGAGACAGGAACATCCCATGTTGCCCCATTGGTCCTTCTAGTTTGGCTTGTACTGTCTATACTGACTAGCCGCAGCATTCCTAGTTTTTAGACAAGTGTTCCCCAGCTGTATCTAGAAATAGGTGGGACTAAACTTAAGTACATTTACATGCACTACAACTGGATTACACCCCTGATTTAATGCCACCTTCAATTCCACGGAAAAAAAGAAAGGAATAAATATACATTTAAAATGAGGCTGATGATATGTACAATTGTGTTTACAAATGACAAATGTTTAATGACAGTTGAAGCAAACAATTTCTAAATTAAAATCAGAATGAAAAGTACCGAGTGGCTGAAGAGCTCATACCCTGTGTTATTGTTGTTTTGCTCATATGACAGAGTTTATTCATGTATTAGATTCACATCTTGCCCTATTAGCTAGAAAGGTTCTGGGTGCCCTTCTTTTATGCTTGGATATTTTTGCTGCATCTCGACGTTAGGAGTGATTTCATTATCCCATCGCATTTGGTGCACACATGCATAAAACAGAGCTATACAACCTGTGGCTGCTATGTGCTTTGGTCTAGAGCTTGACCCCGCTAACCACTGGCTATAGTGGTTAGGGTGACAGATATTGTAGTTCACATCTGGAGGGCTACAAGCTGCATTAAAATTACCTATCCCCAACAGAGAATGATTGAAACAAAACAAGGCCAGAGAATAAATTGTGCAGAGTCACAATAGCTAGACTACTTAGAGTATGAATATTTGGGGCTCACATCCAAAGAACCATAGAACTCTACAAATGAATGCCACTACATGGGCATTCCTGTCCAGGTTTGTTGTATTTCCTATTGCCCTTAGTATGTCTGTGGCAATGGGTGCACTGCCTCAGCACTGTGAGCTTTGTTGGGTGGGGAAGGAAAAGGAAAAGCAACGATTGGGGAAGCTATGAAGTAGGGGGTTGAAAAAAGATGTATTTTTTGGTTTTGGTGTGTGTATATTTTTACTTATGTTAGAAATGTGGTAGGAATTAGGGCTGTTATGCAAAATGTAAATGCACCCCACGTTTAGTTAACAATTCTATATGTCGGGTACTGCAAAGTCAAAAGGAGTAGCCATTATATTACATGCAAATTTTTATTTCAAAGTGGAAAAAATTAAGAGATAGGAAAACGAGCTTTATCTTTGTTAAGCGTGCATAAAGGTATAGGATCACTCACATTTGGATCAATATATGCACCAAACTATGAGCAAATGAAATTCCTTGGTAAAATATTTTAAAAGTTGAAAGGCTTTATGGAAAGGAATTTGATATGTGGGGAGGGGAGGCTTAAATTGGAATATACAGGATTTGAGTTCCAGATATTTGTATTCTAATAATGGAAACAAGAGTCCCCTTTACAGGGTAATATATAGTACTTTAAGGATCAGGTGAAAGTCATAAAAGGATTTGAAATGTGGGGGCTAAAAGATGTGTGGGGTGAATTGAACTTAAGAGATGAATGCTTCACCTACCAATCTGCAAGGCATTAAACACAGTCAAGGTAGACTATTTACTGGTCTCTGCTGCAGTTGGTTAGCAAGACTGATACAGTGCTTAGTCAGGTCTCAGATCATGCTCCTGTGGGTATGGATTTAAATTTGTCTGATTCTGTTGCATACTCACCATCACAGTCATTTAGTCCCATGTTACTGAGTAATCAACCAGTCCAAGAAGCCATCCATCAGGCTTTAGTTAACTATTTTACAGAGCTCAATATAGAAAATGCCTCTTCTATGATCCTATGGGAGGCTATGAAGGCACTAATAAGAGGGATATGTATTAAGGAAAATGCTACTTTTAAAAAGAGGCAAGAGAAAGATTACAGACAGAGGCAGAAGCATATTGTAAGAAATATAATCAATCAGGATCTTTAAAAAATGGTTTTGGTTATATGACCAAAAGAGAAAAGAATTGGAGGCTCTTGAGTTAAATCAGACTTCAATTTATCTAATTTATCTACAAGAAAAAATTATGGATACAGAGGATGGGGCTCAAGACTTATTGCTAATCATTTAAGGCAATAGAGAAAAGGCAAGGATACATTGTTTTCAAGACAAAAAAGGAGTCTCCTGTTATTCAAGTTCCCAAATTTGTGAGGAGTTTGTGTGTTTTAATTAAAATCTGTATACTTCTTCCTCTCCTTCACTCGCAGATATTGATGAATATGTGGACTCAGCATCTCTCCCAGTATTGTCGGCTTTTGACAGAGAAATACTAAATGCTAGGGCTGAGATGGGGGAAATGCTTGAAATATTAAAGAAGCTGAAACCCAATAAGTACCTAGGTCAGACTTCAGGGATTTAGTAACTCCACATATGGTCAATCTATTTAATGACATTCTTCATGGAGATCCTATTCCTCAGACATGGAACTATTCTAAAATAGTAACTACTCCAAAAACCTTTAAAGATCCCACACTAGTTGAATCTTACAGACTATATATATATATATATATATATATATATATATATATATATGGTCTGTATACATATATATATATATATATATATATATATATGTAGGTCAGGCTGTTGTTCATCAACAGATTACAGATCTCATGTGCAAATCATTAAATATTATACATAGTATAATTAGTCAGACTTTATTGGCAGTTCCTTTCTTAGAAACAATTAAAGCTTCTTAAATGTCTCTTATATATAAGTTGACAATTTTGGGAGGATGGAGTATCCCTAATATGTTTTTATTTAAATAAAAAATTTCAACCTAATCTCTTACTTTATTATGAGGCTGCCAATTGCAGCATTCAATTTCTTTTGTCTCAGCCAATCCCAGCAGACAATGTGTTTCTCTCTAGAGAAATGTTAAAATGAATGGGGTCTCTCTGACAGTTGCTCCATTTAAGGAAACACAAATTTAAACTGTTAAATTGGACTGTGAATAGGTTTGCATGCTCTGTGATTGAAATTTGGGCCAGAAAGTCCACATTTCCTATCTACAGAGATTCACCTTTGTTGCCCCTTCAATTCCATCCAGTTTGTTTGTTTGTTTTTAATTCAGATACACATGATTTCAACAGATGGAGACAGGATAGTACAGAATTAAAGATTTTTATCAAAATAAGATTCCACTCTCATTTTCAGAACTCAAACAACAAGTAGTAAATGCTGATATCACAGGGCTCATGGGATATTGACTACATTCTTTCCTTTCTAGCAAGGGTGTAAAGGACCAAGCAGTTTGGAGTTTAACTAGTTTTGAGCAATTGATTGATAATGATAAGGGATGCATTAAAGGGATGGTATCAACTATATATGTTATTTTGGACTAGTAGTCTGAAGCAATGATGGGAGTTAAACTTACGTACTTCTATGGATTATGCAGCCTGGATAAGAAGTACCTGGCAGAAATCACCATATAAATCTATATGTACTAGAGAAACATCTCTGAAGATATTACATGCTTGGTATCAGACTCCTAGAAAACTGGCATTTATTAAGTCTGTTCCCCCTATGTGGAGGGGATCCCAAGGGATTGGAACCTACCAGCACATGTGGTGGGGATGTGCTAAGATTCATAAATTTTGGACTGCAGTTTTCTCTGAGATTACTCAGACTGTAAAAGTAGAAATACCTATTGACTCTGAATTGGTCCTATGAATGTATTTGTTGAAAAGAAGAAACGTAAAGAGCGAACACATCTTTTATTCACTGGTAGAAATGTAATCATGTCACAATGGAAGGATTTTAAATTTACAGACTTGAAAGAATGGTATAATCTGGTATGGAAGACAGCAATAATGGAAAAATTGTCATACAAATTACATGTTAAGGGAGGCCAACAAAAGTTTGATTCTTTTGAGACTATTTGGTACCATTTACAAATAATTATGGTGGTTGTAACGGTTTCTGTATAACCAACATGCATTCTGCAGGACTGTAGACTTTATTTTATGTAACTCGATATAGGGGCAGGAGGGGAAAAGAATATAAATAATGTTAAATGTTTCCAATGTTTGTTTTTGTTTCCTTAATTTTCAATAAACATTTTAAAAACTATTTGGTGGTTTGGCATTTCTAATGTTGGAAGACAGTTATATGTTTTGATAACAGAATGTTATTCTTCTCATTTCTATTTTGTCCATGTTATTGTACTATATCCCATATGCCTTTTATGCAAGTGTTTCTAAATGACTGTATTTTGTGTAGCCCCTAAAGAAAGAGACTTGCTCTCTGAACCACTGCGAAAGCACACAACAGAACAGCCACTTTTGTAATAGGCAGCACAATCCTATAACTATATCTAGAAGACCATTGGACTATCGAGCTCGAATCTCAGAAACTCACTCCAAAATCAGAGCTGGTACTCCAGTCGCAGAACACTCTCCCCCATATTGCAAACAGAATGGAAAGAACTGTGCTGGTTTCCCCTCCCAGATCACAAATTCAACCTTAGAGAAGCAATTGGGTAAGAATTAAAGGGGGTGAGGAGGGGAGGAAATGGGTACTGCCATGATATAATGTATCATGGCATCACCTTAGCCTCCTTTCCTTCTGTTTCAAGGTGCAACACTTAACTGAAATCAGCTACCTAAGGGCTTTGAAGGCCAAGAGGTGTGAAGAGGTAACCTTCACCTCTGTGCACATTTTGCCTTGAGTAGGATGCCTGTAAACCTCCAAATTCAGAGGACTCTGGGCATCCAAACTGGATTGCATCCTCAGTCACTTGCTTTACTTTCTGGACCAAAACATGTATTAGTTTCCAGTATATACATTGACCAGGAATATGCTTAACGTCCATATTACAGAATCATAGAACAGTAAAGTTGGAAGGTGCCTAGAAGGCCATTGGGTCCAACCCCTGTTGTTGCAGTACACCAATTTACACCATTCCATTCAGTTTCTTCTTGAATGTCTATAGTTTGGGAGAGCCCACGACTTTTCTAGCCAACTGGTTCCACTTGCCATAGTGCTCTGACAGTTAATCCCTCATATCTAGCATGAATCTGGGTTGTCACAGCTTGAGTTGATTATTCCATGTCCTACAATCTTGGTGACAGGCTTTGAGTAATATCATGTCCCCCCTCAGCTTTCTCTTCTCAAGGCTGAAAATACCCAGTTCTCTCAGTCTCTCCTCACAGGGCAGTGTTTCCAAACCCTGGATCATTTTTGTTGCCCTCCACTGGACCCTTTCTGCAACTTTCTTTCTGCAACATTTTTTTCTGAACTTTCTTAAATCTTGGTGCCCTGAACTGGACACAGTATTTCAGATGAGGTCTGACTGGTGAAATAATAGGGGAACCATTGGAAGTGATTTGGAAGTAATATTTTTGTTAAAGCATCCCAAAAGAGCATTTGCCCATTTTGCAGCTGCATCACATGGATGTCTCATATTTAGCCTGTTATCCACAATAACTCCAAAGTCTTTTTTCCTTTTCAATTGTGTTGAGCCACGTATTCCCCATCTTGCATTTGGTTTCTTTTTCCTAGATGGATGATTTGGCATTTGTCCCTGTTGAATCTCATTCTGTTGCTTTCAGCCCAACATTCAAGTTTTTCAAGATCACCCTGGATCTTAATTCTGTCTCCTAGGTGTTTGCTCTTCCACCCAGTTTTGTATCATCTGCAAATTTGGTAGTGTTCCTTGTAATTCCTCATCAAAATCATTAATAAAGACATTGAAGAGCATTGGGCCTAGAAGTGAAAACTGCAGCATCCCACTAGTTACCTTCTTCCAGTGTGAGGTGTCTTTGTGCCCGTTTTAGAAGTCATTTCTGGATCCACCTAATAGTTTTTCTATCTAGTCCACTTTTTGATAATTTGCTTATCAGGATTGTCATTGGGCACCATGTTGAAAGCTTTGCTAAAGTCAAGGTAGATGATGTCCACAGTGTTCGCTCTATGAAAGATTACCCAATCAAAAAATGAGATTAGTCTGACAAATGTGTGATAAATTTATTTATCACAAATAAATCCATGATGGCTTCTATTAATCACTGCATTATCTTTGAGGTGCTTGCAGACTGATTTTTTAATAATTTGCTCCAGAATTTTTCCAGGGATGATGTCAGTCTAACTGGTCACTACTTCCCAGGTTTGTCTTTTCTCCCTCTTTTGAATATGGGGACAACATTAGCCCTTCTCCAGTCCTCTGGCATTTCTCCTGTTTTCCAGGATTTATCAAAGATAATAGACAGTGGTCTTGAGAGCTCCTCCACTAGCTCTTTTATGACTCAGATAGATTTCATGGTGTCCTGAACATTTGACCATGCCTATTCCATCTAGGTATTCCTTGATCATTTGTCTGTCAATCTTGGGCTGCCATCTCTCACTTTCAACTTCTATGACCTCTTGGTTGTAGATTTTCTTGCAGAAGACTGAGGTGAAGTAGGAATGGAGCACCTCTGCCTTTTTCTTGTTCTCTCAGTTTGCCATTCACTTTAAGTAGCTAGACACCTTTCTCTTTCACACATTTGGATGTATCTGGGGAAGGCTTTCTTGTTGTTCTTAGCATCCCTTGCTAGTCTCAGTTCATTTCCTGTTTTAGCCTCCCTGATGCCCTTCCTGCAATTCCTTGCCATTTCTTTATATTCTTCCTTTGCAGCCTGGCCCTGCTTCTATCTCCTGTACATTTTTTTTCATTCAGAAGTTGTGAGTAGAGCTGGCCAGAGCCGGGGGTCAAACTAGATGGCCCGGAGGCCCCTTCTGACTCGCTCTGGTTCTGTTTCTAAGTCTAGGGTTTGTGTTTGGCTACAGTTAACCTTTCACTCTTTTATAATTGAGAATTCAAGTATCACATGGCCACTTTCCCCCATGGTCCCCGGGGTTGCTATTTTGTTCACTAGGTCATCCCTGTTAGTATTAAATCCAGGGCAGTTGTTCCTCTCGCTCCTTCCTCTACCTTCTGCTGGAGGAAGTCGTCTGCAATGCATGTAAGGAATCTCTTGGGGAGCATGTTTGGCAGAAATTGTCTCCCAGCATATATCAGGGAAACTGACACCCCCACCCCCATGACTATATCATTCTTCTTGTAAACGATGGCAAGTTGCTTTCCGAAGGTTGCATCCTTGTCCTCTTTTTGACTGGGTGGTTGATAATAGATACCAATAACTGTTTTTCTTATTTTTTGCTCACTTTAAATTAAACCAGATGCTTTCTATAGGGCTACTAAGTTCATATGGTGACTATGTGTAGTGACTGGGCAATATATATAGTTTATGCTATTATATTACGCACATCCTCCACCAATATTTGCATAAGCAATATGCAAAGCCTGCTGTTTATTATTACTACATTATTTATTTTTATCCTACCTTTCTTTTTGTAAGGAACCTAGGGTGCCTTCTCTCCCATTTTGTCCTTACAACAACAGCAACCCTGTGATATAAGTTAGGTTGAAAGGAAGTGACTGGGCCAAAACCATTCAATGAGCTTCATGGCCAAGAGGGGAGGAGAACACAGATCTCTTAAGTTCTAGTTCAGCATTCTGCACATGCTCATTTGTGAACATTCCACATGATGTCCTGCAGCCAGTGTTCAAATTTTCCATTCATTTCACATTAATGGCAAGGACACTGTAACCAATCTAAAATCTCACTAAACTTCCAATAAATATGTAGAATTGTACTACCATTTACTGAATTTTTCTCCTTTCAAATATTTCAGGCATGTGCCAAGTAGAGGCTAAAGGGCTTCTTTTCAAATATTCCCTATTACACTCAACACTGCTGATCATTTAGCATCACTGGCATGAACAGAAATTGAGAGAAACAAACCAGCTAAATTACTATCTTCCTTTTAGCAGTAAAGGACAAGCTTTCAAGAACTTTAGTTCATATAACACCATAAAAGATCAAATACTGAAAGTAAAATCATATTAAATTAGCTAAAAAATATTTTGGCCTTCCTACAGTCTCAAAACCAAGGCCCAGTTTTGGCATGACCTAGTGTTCATTCAATGTGTTTCTCTGCATCTCCTATTTCGAAAAGGGTCTTGGATATTCTCATGGAAATTATATTAGCCTATTTCTGTTTAGCTGTAGTAAGGACCCTGGAAGTCCAGAGCTGATAATACTTTTGCTCCATAGCAAAATCCTTTCATATCAAAGGGTTGCTCACATTAGATTTGCTAACATGGAACAACTATGACCAATTTGATTCATTAGAACTCAGATTCAAAGATCCTCCACAGGAATCCTAGGCTCACAAGTGGGCTTGTAGTAGTCCACTGAAAGTTCTGCCCTTTTTCTTTAAATAACTGTTCCCAATCCCACAATTATACTATTTTTAATTTTCCCTTGTTTTCAAAAGCAGATTGCCATGAACCATGGGATGGTACTGTTCAAACAGCAGCAGCCTGCCAAGCAGGGAGAGAAAGCGGGGAAGCAGGATACTTGGTGACAGAAGAAATAACTCCTCAGTCATGTATCTTGAGCCAAAGTGTATAGATTAAAAAAAAAAAAAAAACAGGAAGTAAATCTATTTAGCCAAATTCAACTATATTGAATTTTGCGCCCACATATCCCTTATATCACAAGAAGGGGGCAAGAAACTGCGTCTCCCCACTTCTATTCACATTTCCTTCTGTGAAGGAGTTAGCAGCTGAAAAGCGAGGGCTTCAACTTGGCGACTCTCCCGCAAAACACATATACGCACGAGCCAGCTAAGCAAAGCCCCGCCTGCAACAGGAAGACACGCAAGCAATGCGTCTAGACGCGAGCCATCCCTTGAGCGCCTCCTTGCTCTCCTAGACTCTGCGCGGACTACTCTGCCGGCAGAAGCCTACCTGTACCCCCTCACCTGTGTGCCGTCTCCCGGAAGAGGCCGGTCATCTGCCTCGCGACTGTCAAGCAATCGGGGCAGGCCGCGGCCTGGTCCTCCGCCGTGCTTCTCAGCCGTGCAGCCAGAGTATGCAGCGTTTCCCCGGCAAGCGTCTCTATCGACGCCATCGTTGTGCCGCTCTGACTGCCCTTCTGCGTTGGCTCCACCCCGGCAGCGGCGTCAGCGCGGGAATTAAGCGGAAGCCTTGCCTAAACCAAGCTAGCCGGGCAGAGCGATGGCCTGCCCGGTTTATATACGCAGCTTTAGATCAGGAGAGTGAGAATGCCGTTCCTCCTCTCATGAGAGGACGGGGATACTAAGCTTTAAGACAGCTTTCTTGTGAGATAGGTGCGCTTTTCTTCTCTTCCCTTTCATATTCCAAGTGACCCAATTGAGCCCTTGTTTCCTGGTATCTACCCGTTCCACCTTTTGGCGGTGACTTTTTACGAATGTTGTTGGTTTGTGCAAACGGGCTCTTCAGTCCTTCACCGAGAGCTGCTTTAAGAGTGAGCAAGCTAGGCAGTCACCAGGGGTGCAGAGTTGAGAGGGAACCCAGGATGAGATCAGTGGTCATGGTGTAGTTTGTTGTAAATGCACCAGCTTCAGTGAGGTGGGTTGGTAAAAAGTAAGCATCTATAACCATTCTTTCTGGTTCTATGGGTTGTTTCAGTGCTATGAAACGATGACCTCCCTTCATTTAGCATTCAAGTATGCTTTTCTCAATTTTCACTTTGATGTCTGGCCAGGGCGACTTCTTATCACCTTCTTATCTGGCCAGGGCGACTTCTTTTCTTTTCTTTTCTTTTCTTTTCTTTTCTTTAACTTCTTTTATATAGTTTATATTTTTTATTTATTTTATATTATTAATTTTAATTTTATATTGTTATTTTTATATTGTATTTTATTGTGTTGTAAGCCACCCCGAGGCTTCGGGAAGGGGCGGCATAGAAATGTTCTAATAATAATAATAATAATAATAATAATAATAATAAGTCATTTGTAAGCCATCCTGAGATACTAGTGGTGGACAAGTTAGAAAAGCTTTTAATAAATTCTAACCATACTGTTATTCTAAGATAACAGTATGGTCTGAGAGCACATAAGGCATAGGCCATGTTGAAGCTAAGAGGTCTGGGGCTGGCCTGAGCTTGCAGGGAGGCCACCTGGGAACTTCATGACACCACCTTGAGTTCCACAATGGGAGAACAGTGGGGTATAAATATAATACATAAAATAAACAATAAAATAACATTAAATACCAAAATATTGGAAGTGCTGCAAAGTGAAAAAAACTAAAACTCTGCTGTGTTGCATGCTGACATGCCACTATTCAGAATGTGGCCTTTCAAACCTTGGCTGATGCAAACTGTAGCACAATGGCTAGAAAAATAAGCTTTTTTATTTAAATAGGGTAGATCAGGAGTATATTTTGATGAGCTCCAGTTTTGAAAAGCAGCTGGTAACTGTCACTAAGTGTCAGGAGAATTCATAGTGTTTCCCAGATGTTTGGGAAAACCTTAGTCATTTTGGTACCACAGATGTACTGCCTGGCATCTTGTGATGAGCCTTTTCCAGGAAATAGCATGTGACAGAGGTGGCCCAGCTGAACAGAAAGATCTGCACCACTGATGCTGGAGTGGTTGCAACCAATGAGGGCTTTGTAGAGCCATGTAGTAGGTTTTCAAGGTTGTACAAGAAGCCACATTTATTCCTGTGGATGTGTTCCTATATTCTGCAGATTGTTCTTAAATTGAAACATGAGCAGTGTCAAGCAAGACTGTAGAAGAGCTCATGTTTGAAGATTTGATTTTCACTCCATGTTGTTTCATTTTTTTACATATCTGTACCACAGAATAGCTAAAGCTGTCTAGGCAATATACAAAGATTAAAATTAAAAATACATTATAAACCTGTATGTACAAACTTAGGTGACACACAGAGGAACACATATCTGAAACAATTTTAAACAACAGGAAAAATCCAGGGCCTGATTAAAAGACAGAAATGAAGGGCAACTATGAGATGGATTGATTCTATAAAGGAAGCCACAGCCTTGAGTTTACATGAGCTAAGCAAGGCTGTCAGGGACAGGATATTTCAGAGGGCATTCGTTCATAGGGTTGCCATAGCTCAGACAACAGCATGTAACAACAACAATAAGAACAGCTGCTGAACCATCTTCAAAAGCAACTCCATACTGAGCTTATTGCTATAATCTGAACTTGGATACAAGGGTCAGATAGGAACAGAGAAGGGCCACAAATCAAAATTGATAGAATGCACTCTGTTCTACTGAAGCCACCTGAGCTTCAAGTGACAAAGATGGCTCCAAAAGAACACTGAAGCTCTTAACCTGTACCTTCAGGGGAAGTGTAACCCAACCTAGAACTGGTTGAGCACACCCATCCAATCCAGGGGACCATCCACTAAAAGCATCTTTGCCTTATGTGGATTGAATTTGAGTTTCTTAGCTCTCATTTAGCTCACTGTTACCATACCATTGTTACATTGCAGTAATCTAACTTGGAGGTTACAAGAAGGTAGACAACTCTCTGGATCTAAGCACTCTGATGATTAAGGATTGGAGATATTAATTCTTCCTTGCTCACCCAAACAGGCCTCAATTATGCGTGTCAGATCAGCTACCTAATTCATTATTAAATCATGGATAAGGGAAATCCAGCATTTAAAAGCGGCTCCAGAAATGCAGGGGCACACTGACAGGACAAAAACAAAACACGTGGGTGGAGTAGGGCCAGAATAGACCCAACCATTAACCTTGTTTCCTAACCTGGCTAGTCCTCTTTGCAATACCATATCTCCCTCAGGGTGTAACTTTATAAATTGAAACCCTCCTTAGGTCCCACACTTGGCTCCATATCTTCTCTTCTGGTGTATAGCCAGATTTTAAGAGAAAAACCATCATTGTCTCACACACACACACACACACACACACACACACACACACAGACAAACCACAAAAGCTGATCAGTCTGACTTTAGTGGGATGGCCCTTGCCCTTGGTGACACTGTGGGGTGTCTGAGCTCAGTAATATACTGGATGTGGGATAATAAGCTGAAGTTCAGTTCAGATAAGATGGAGGTGCTGTTGGTAGGAATCTGTCTGTTAAACTGGGGAGTTTTCAACCTGTCCTGGATGGAGTTGTGCTCTCCTTAAAGGACAAGGTTCGCAGCCTTGGAATGCTCCTGGATTCTGAGTTCCTCCCCCCCCCCCAACTTTTTTTTTTTTTAAATACAGAAAAAAATAGGCACATCACAATATCAATAATATACAAAAGCCCAACTAATAAATGAAAAAGTAAATAATACAGTGCCTCCACCACCCAGGAGACCAATAATACCTCCACTTTAATGCATATATTATAACAATTAATAATATATAATATACTTCAATTATATCCAAATCCCCTCCAAAAATTCATATAATCTTGATTAGGTTTACAACCTTTACCTTCTATCAGTACTGCTTTTACAAAATCTTCCCAAATTTCATTATATTTATTTGTTTGTATTAACCCTTTTAAAATTTTTATTTCTGTTGTAGTTTATCATTAATTAACATATTCCATATTTCATCATACCATTCATGCCTTTGCATAACCCAATTCTGTTTCCAGTATTTAACTATCACTAACCTAGCTGCCATTATCAAACTTAGGATCAATTCTTAACTTCATTTATATCTTGTTTTTCAATCAACAGCAATAACACAATTCTCAGTGACATTTCTAAATCTATATCTAAAATTTCTCTAATTTCATTAAACAACCATAATCGAAATCTTTTGTATATTATCACAATCCTACTACATACGTTTGTAAATTCCAGTCCCTTTCCCACATCTCCAACATATATTAAAATATTTGTCATCAATTTGATTTAACTTAACTGGTGTTAAATACCATCTCCATATCACTTTATATCCATGTTCTTTAATTCTAACTGACATATTCTTGTATACTCTTCTATTCCAAATATTCTTCCAGTCCTTGTCTTTTTTTTCACCTACGTCCATTCTGAGTTGTCACTTCCAAGTGTTGAATTGGGATATGGAAGATCTGGTTTAGTCCCTACATGGCCATGAAGCTAATTGGGTGACTTTGAGCTGGTTGGAGGGGGACTATGTAAGCTACCTTGGGTACCTTGTAAGAGGGAAAAAAGACATGTTCTTAATGCAAATTGGTGGTGGTGGAGGATACTTCTGGAAATAGGAGTGGTATATAAAAGAGCAGTTTCTCTATTTTTATCTCAGAGTGTTGGAGGTTAAGTAGTAAATGTTGTGGAATACATTTGAGCTGCTGCTAGCCTATAATAAGTCCAAGCAGATATTAAATATTCTTATATTTTAAAACAAGAAAACTGTTTTTGGCAAGTTTGCTAACACAAGGATTCATCAGCCTTTTCAGACTCAAGTTACTAATTTCCTGCAGGAAGATAGTAAACTCAGATTGACTTAATTGTGTTAAACTCTGATAGTACAGACCAAATGATCTTTTTTTAATGCTGCAAAGGCCTTTGACAAATTTCTCTGGAAATTTATTTTTCTGACATGATAAAGTTTAGTTATCCTGTTAAATTTTTGAAATGGGCTAAAATTTTTTATTCAGTCTCAGAAGCCTGAATCAAGACAATTATTCTGTTACAGTAGCTCAAGATGTGTGGCAAGCAATATTCCATCAATTATGGTTTGACATTTCCACATGACTGAATAGATCTTATGACACAAATCATACTAAAAATGGCCTTAAAAATATTTCTGTGGCAGACTTGGGCAGATAGGTTGATTTTTAATTTGGATCAATTGAAGATGAATTCTTTTCATTTTGTGATTTGTGTGCCAAATGCAACTTGTTTTAGGAGTCTGAGTGGCAACACTTGCCATTGCAACATTGGCTAAAATCCAAAGGTCTTACAGCATTTGCAACTTCATGCTCTCCTCAATTGTTAGAAATATTTAGGAAGGCTGATAAGGTACATTGACTCATGATTCATGTCTATAAATATCTGTTATCAGTGATTATGCATGTTACATCAAGTCTAAGGGACGAAATTGAATAGAGAACTGTATTGTCCTGCCTGATCCAAGCAGTAGATTGCTGCTTTAGAGTTAATATCTAAGTCTTAATAAAATGTATG